GTCCACTCAGCCTCTGTGTCCCACTATAACTAGTCCACTCAGCCTCTCTGTCAGAGTACAACTAGTCCACTCAGCCTCTCTGTCCCAGTACAACTAGTCCACTCAGCCTCTCTGTCCCAGTACAACTAGGCCACTCAGCCTCTCTGTCCCAGTACAACTAGGCCACTCAGCCTCTCTGTCCCAGTACAACTAGGCCACTCAGCCTCTCTGTCCCAGTACAACTAGGCCACTCAGCTAGTCTGTGTCCCACTATAATTAGTCCACTCAGCCTCTGTGTCCCACGATAACTAGTCCACTCAGCCTCTGTGTCCCACGATAACTAGTCCACTCAGCCTCTGTGTCCCACTATAACTAGTCCACTCAGCCTCTGTGTCCCACTATAACTAGTCCACTCAGCCTCTGTGTCCCACTATAACTAGTCCACTCAGCCTCTGTGTCCCAGTACAACTAGTCCACTCAGCCTCTGTGTCCCAGTACAACTAGTCCACTCAGCCTCTGTGTCCCAGTACAACTAGTCCACTCAGCCTCTCTGTCCCAGTACAACTAGTCCACTCAGCCTCTCTGTCCCAGTACAACTAGTCCACTCAGCCTCTCTGTCCCACTGCACTCCTCAAAGTTTCCAAACGTGTTGAGTTGAATGTGGCTCTGCAGTCACTTCAGGGATTATCGTCAAAAAACCAGCAGACAGTCTCACACTCCTCACTGAGGGTACAAGCTCCTAAGTGAACACAGAAGTCACTGCTGGAGGATCCACCACGAGCGTTTTAGCATTTAGCTCGTTAGATAGACCCAGCATGCACCTGTTGATGATGATTCGAATCACCTGGTGGTTATTAGTTAGAGGGTCAATTCATCCCAAAATCAAAAATACATAATTTTCCTCTTACCTGCTGTGCTGTTTATCGATCTAGATTGTGTTGGTGGGAGTTGCCTAGTTCTGGAGAGATCGGCTGTAGAGAAGTCTGCCTTCTGTAGAATATAATGGGAGTATATGGGTCTCGGCTTGTGGTGCTCGAAGCCCCAAAAATTACATTACATCACCCTTACATACACCATACGTGATCCTTCTTTTGATTGCCTTGTTGTCCATTTTTTTTTAACCGTCCATGTTCCTCTTATAATTCGATTTCGTCCCGTACAGGAAGGAGTGATGGACGAAGGCTCGGACGACGACGGGGAAAGTGGAGAGGAGGGAGCGGAGGATCCAAACAGCGCCCCCCACGCGGGCTTCCTGTCCTCCACGTGGTCGTTCATCATAACCTTCTTCATGTCTCTCATCCCGGAGGGACCGCCAAACGCTGCTAACTGAACCACGAGCCACCACGGGTCTCCACAAGGGCACATTCTTTCTTCTTCAAGAGGACGAGCATCCCGCCTGCTTAGGGAAACCATTTCTGTTGCAGCACCGTGTTATAGTTTCCCCATTAGTGTACTTTACTACCAAGACTTTGAGCCAAAACAAATGACTGATTAGATGTGAAAAGAGGAAAAAGGGTCAGAACATTTTGAACTGTCACAATGACACGATAATTAGTTTAGCTGCTCTACACAAGGATTGCTAGTGATGCCATGTAAACATAGTTCAAATAATGATTGATTCTGCATTATTGAAATAGTGACAACAGGCACATTTATACAGAAAAATAAGACCTTTTCTTTTTTTTAAAGGGCCACTTTAGTCCAAAAGCTAAACTTCAGAGAACAATCCTGAGTCATGTAGCGCCTGTGATAATTAACATGAGTGAAGTTCATAAAAATGTGTCTGAACACATTGTTTACTGTGTTGAAGTTTATCTCAGTGTGATGTTGGCTACAGAAGTGTGATTATTTTTTTTTTATTTTTTTTTATTTTTTTTAACTGGAGTGAGTGCTGAGTGAGCCGAGTGAGGTAGAAGAATTGATCTTCCACCGTTACTGGAGTATCCAACAGGACGGTCGTTGATGGGACTGGAGTCACGTGGCATCGAGCGAACAGGAGACACTTTGCACTGCCAAAGTTCACATTTCATGTTGGACAAGACGCACACCTCTCGAGTGTGTGAAAATGGCTGATGCTGTTACCTTTTGACATGTTCTGTACCAATAATAATCAAGTTCATTAAACCTTCATTCATGGCAATGTAGTCATGTGGATTAAGATGGATAATACTGTTTTATTCCTCCAGATTATAACTTTAGCTAACAGCAACACACAACTACTGACTTAATTGCCTTTGGCCGCAGAGAGAGAGAGAGAGAGAGACACAGACACCAGGCCTTAGTGGGTGATGGCAGGAAAAGTGCAGGTGTATTTAGTAACATCAATGATAGCTGCATTCCACTTCCTGGGACACTTCGGTGCACCGAGCAATCGTTAATGTAATCAATTTCACTACTGTGCTTTTTTTCTACTATGACAAGTTTAAAAAAAAAGTCTGCTGTGAATAAAAGTCCATTAGATCTCTCTGTAATTGTTTTTGCTACAACAGTGAGGGAAATGTCAATCAAACACAACCTGTAGCCTTCATGCCCTCACAGGCCTGAGAGGTGTAATTAGTCGAATAACCAGGATTACACAGAAACTCAATGTGCCAGCAGTACTCACCTGTGGCGTGTCGGCAGGGTTGGAGTTTTACTTTTTTGTGACGGCTGGATTAAGAAATCTGGCAGCCACAGAATTAGATTAGCATTGTTTTTATTGGCTGGCTAGAATTGTTTAGTTAAAATCTAGCATTATTTTTTAGATTTGACAGGTGGCTGCTGGTGATTTTCAACCAGGTGTGTAAGACAGATCTCTGCTGCCACCTTTTGTCTTAATGATGAAAATGTTACAAATGGGACGGTCAAGAACTTCCCTACAACACACACATTTTCATAAAGACTGCTTCGGATTGGGTAATTAAGAATTGTGACTAAGATATGTACTTTGTGGGACATTTTATTTACATATATAAACTTTTAACTTGTCCTTAAACTATGCAATGTAGTTTCTAAACCTCAAAATTAGCTTTTCTGTGTATCAGTCTTATTACTTATTGGCCGACATCCGATACTGAAGACAAGTAGTATTATCAGATTTTATTTTGTTACTTGATTATTTATGATCCCTGTTGATCACACCTGGTTTTATTATTCTTAACTATTGTTGGCATGTGGATTTAAGCATGGGGATTGTGTGATGCAGCAGTTTGGAGCCCAAAACAAATTTCCCTGTGGGACAATAAAGTATATCTTATCTTATATATCTGCGTTAGCTAAACTAGAAGACATCTACTGATAAATCTGCAATAAGAGACGTCTGCCTGATGAATTGGTCCCATCATAGTTTTGACTGTACAGTAGCCTGTAATGTACCTTACAGGTATAAACTGTAAGTACTTATAGACATGTCTTTCCAGAGTTACCCATTAATAGAGCATTGTTCTCATAGTGATGGAAGTCCATAATCTAAAGAACCAGACTTTAAAAGTGTTCACTTCTTCACCAGCTGAGAACACAATTACCAAACACGTAAGAATCAACGAGCATCGTCTCCATACAGCCAACAAATGAAGACAGAACGTCACCATGTATTCACTTTTATTGCTTTGCACCAAGCGGTCATGACAGAAGATGCATCATTCAGTCGAACAGGACGCCATGTGCTTCGCTGATGTTGTGCGTCTGTACATCAGAACTAATGCATTTTTACCAAGTGATGGTCGAGTGTAAAATCTCCACATTTTTGCTGTTGACAGAAGATCCGCCTCTTTAAGTTTATACAGCAACGTTTAAACCGATGTCATGTGGAAATAGGTTATTCTTCATCAAAATAAACATTCTGAAATGATAAATACTTGGTTGGTGGATGTTCACTTCGCTGTGTTGATTCTACCGATCGACAGCTCACACTTTTTTTTTTTTACCTCAAACAATGAGGTGTAAGGAAAGAACTTCTGCAATACCCGTGACTGAATTCAAATGCAAGATCTTATTGAAAATAGAGGTTTGGCAAAATGTCACCGACTTCATTTTTGACGGTAGAAAAAATAAAATAATTTGCCATTCACTGATCGATTCCAAAAAAAGAAACCACTACCTCAATATCGACAACGGAGCGTTCACATGTGAGCAAATACCAGAGCTGCGACAGTAGAACACACACGCACGCGCGCACACACACACACACACACACACCAGGAAACGGTATCAGGAGTAACATTTGCAAATGGAAGATAATTTGAGTTAGATCGTTGGAGTCGGTGGCTCTGGCCAACGACTTTCTCACAGACGTGGAACAACACTAGGACAGACTGGTTCACTGGTGTAAAGTTATGATGGTCCGTCTTTGGCATCTGTGTGCCATCGGGTGTTCTGAACACATGCATCATCAGTACGAGACTTTAAACATAAAGCGCTCCGACAAGGCACGTAAGCGACTGTCAGTAGAGTCGCTGTAGCTACACGCACACGGAGCCGCTGAAGTGGACACGAAACAAATCATTTCAACATTTACTCTTTGCCTGAATAGTAGCCAGGTTCATAGAGTCCATACATTGCACGGTATGGAATACTTATTGCTAAAACAGGACTGCACTTAGCAAAATAAGAACAACTTCATAGAATATAATAGGTTTTTGTTTTTTTTACATTTACTGTAGAAATATTTTGCATAAAATGATTTGCAACGCTAAACATACCAAGTTATCTTTACGCCACGCACACATACAAACTATTACCAACAGTAATACAGACAGTATAAAAACTGGTGCATCTAGCTGGGTCACAAATACTCTGTTTGTTTTTTTTATTCAACAACTTATTATATTTTATGATTTACAGCATTTGTTAAAATAGTTGTGATACCAGCGATGACAGGAATACAGTAGACCGTTAATTCTCACTGCCTTGTGACAAAAAAAATAAATATCAAGTGACCACAGTCAGAAATCATTCAAGATTCCTGAGTTGTTTAACTGACATTTGAACAACAGCTCTAAAGACAATTAACGCAGATATTAACACACTATAATCCGTTTTTTGATAAGAAACTATACTGGCAAAGTGCTTACTGTACAGTACAGACTTCATATGGCCTCTGAAGTAGGTTTCCTATAATGTTACAAATTAAAAGAACACAGTATACATACATACATACATACATACATACATAAATACAGAATATTTCTATAAGATAACATACAATATCAACAGTGAGGTTTACAGTGAAAACAACCGACCAAATTATGAGCAGCGACGTCAATACTGAGTGTTCCCCGGCAGACAGAGATGATTCATGAGCAAATTCTACAAAGATGTGTGTAGTAGTGTGGTGGAGTAGTTTCTATCTGAATGTACCTCCGTTTTGGTTTGGTTCCTATACTGTGCCATACAATCTGTGAAAAAGAATCAGCTGGCACCGACAGTACCTGAATGGTTTTCATCTGAAGCTGGTGTAGTTGGGCGACGGGTCTTAATCCAACCGAAAACACATGGAAACAAACAGCGCAGGGCAACTCGTGGTGTATGAGCTTCGAAGGACCCCAAAATGTACAGTACGGTAATCAGCCAAAACAATAACAGTAAACAGAAATCAAGAATATACAGCGGGATAAAAGTGAAATTCAATTCAACCAGTCCACGATCCTCATCAGTGAGGCCCCTTCCTTTGGCATCTGTGGTTTTAATGCGTGACGAAATTGCTAGTTTGAGAGACTTCCTAAACAAGTGAGTGTCGGTGGGCAGTAACAGCGGGATTCCTTCATTCCTCGGAGATGAGCGCTCGGCGGTGCATCGCGGCAGCCATAGTGTACACGCGCTGCACACTTACAAGACTTCAGGTGGAGGAGGACTCACAGCCCCGGGGGAGCTCGCCCGCTGCCCCCAAGATGGGAACGCTGCAGTTCTATGCCCCCTTATGCCATTAAGATGGTGCTTGTCAGCGGGGTAGGGTGTCGTGTGTGGCGGGGGGGGGGGGGTTTGGGTGGTGAGGCGTCAAGACGGGAGGAGGGCCTCCGTTTATCACAGGAAGGTCTCGTTAGTGGAGCTCCTTCCTGGTGTTTCGGGGCTGACGTCGACTCTAACGCAGGCCATCTTCTCCTGGCTGTTACAAAGAGATGAAGAAGACAGAAATGATGAGCGCTTGTGCTAATTCGTGCTGCGGCTGAGGGTGGAGAGCAACTTTTTTTTTTTTTGTCACGGAGAGGAGTGATGGTGCCCAATTGGCAGTGCTCTTAGAACAAGCTTTTACCACAAAGGTGAGGATGGGGCGTTATGTGAGGACTGTGTTAAAATATGCAGCTCTTAATAGAGACAGTTCTAGATTCAATTTGTCAATGTTTTATGGAGTTCCTCATAAAGTTTGAAAGCATTCATGTTGACATAATCCAATTAAAAGCTTTAGCGACAGGAAACAAGAAGGAACGCTTATCTTTGCTTTTTCCAACACTGTATGGACAGTTATCCTGCTTTACATATTAAGCTGATCTACCTTCCAGGCAGCAATAAGCTTCAATTTATTTCGGGGGAAATAATCTTCCAGTTATAAAATTCAGTCGTCCCTAACAGAGAACATTATTTGCCGACACTACATTATCATATCAAAATTATTGCAGTTGGAAGGGGGGGGGGGGGGGGGGGGGGGGGGGTGAGCCTCAGGGAAACTCCAGCAGATGGCATAGCTACCTTTCACTACGCTTCACAGGTTGGATACATGACTCTGCACTCGAGTTCACTGCTTTCCACGCTGACGTTTTGTCCATTTCAGAGATATTTACAACCAAGGGGTCAGTATCAGAACTGCATGCGAAAAATGCAAACACACACACACACACACACACACACACACACACACACACACACACACACACACACACACACACACACACATGCACAAACACAAAGAGAAGACAGGCATGTAGACATCAAATCAGCGGGAGAGTTGAAACAAGCGGACACAAACATGCATAGAAATCAGAGATTAAAACAAATCACCAGCACAGGATGGCTGAGCAGACGGGCCACACACAGTATGTTCCAGGTTTACGTGGGTCAAGAAATGTGGGCCTTTTGCATTAGAGACAAACGTTATTTGTCATGAGTTGATTGCGTACACATTATTAGTTAGTTAGACACGGATACGATTATTTTAACTAGACAAACGTTTGATCACGGACCATTTTTACCCTCAACATAAAAACAACACATCAACACACACAGCAGTGTGTTTTAGAAAGCCATTGTTTCTGTTTTGACTGACAGTTTTGGCCATGCGACAACTGTCTGAGTATCAGTGAGGAGGGTTAGAACGCAGCCATGTGGGTCAGATGTTTGCCATCAGACACACAGCCCTGCTACCTCTTCTTCCATTCGGAGGCTGTGGGTCACTAGTCCTATTCTGTAAGATCTGTTCAAGATGGACATAACAACACACAGCTGACTACCAGTGTCAGAATTTCCATTACAAGGTGTACATGACCACATGATGCATCAGAAAATGTGCTTACAGCTCTAGTTTATTGTTTTCTCTAAGTTTCTGGAAAGGTTTTCAGCCATAACAACTATTTTTATTAAACGTCGTCAATAAAGCATAAAAAATGTGTTTTGTTGCCTCATAAGGGTCAGACCCTAAAATCTCCATCTCTGTGTGATTCAAAATAGAATAGTCTTGACGCCTCACTAAGCCTTTGAAATAAAATGCTGCTTTGGGCGTCACAGTGTGCTCTATGGCGTCGCACCACTTACCTCCCCGAGAGTGCTTTCACCGGGATGTTGAGAAGGTCTGAGTCTTCTAAGTTGACCTTCGGTTCCCGAGCCCCTTCTTTGTACAGACTGGACTCTTCTTCCTGAGTGAAAACAGCAGCGGAACCCTAAATCACAAAAGCACAGTGAGGCACGTAAAATACAGGTACGGTATCGAGTCACAACTGTCATATTCACATCTTCTTAAACATGCCAAGTTTAATAATCAACTCTGAAGGCTGGGTGTTGCGAGAGCTCACATTACTTTTAGTGCACACATAACCACAGGACAGAATGTGGAGAGGTTACAGTGTTAGCATTATGTTAAAGACGTTTATGTATCATAAGGTCCCTCTCCCGAAGCCGTTTCATGTTTCCTGCGGTGAAACGAGTCTTCTGGTGGCAGGAAAGACGAAACGAAAAAAACAAGTTGTTTCTAGTTTTTACCATTTGGGATTCAATCCAATAAACAAACTATTAAAATGTACACGGACCATACAGACCCCAGTCAGCAGCAAAGTAAACACGCAGATGGCTAAACGTAAACTATAACTGGCTGTCAGAGTTTCAGCAGTTTGGTTGAATTTTGCTTAGTCTTTTCCTGTTAGTGGTTGGACCTAGTAGTAGTAGTAGTAGTAGTAGAATGTCACATTGCCCCTTTAAAGAATATAAAAACTATACATTCCAGATTTACCAGACTTTCTCGAGCTTTCTTTTTCTTGTCGTCCTCTTTCTTCTTCTTGCTTTCTGGTATCAAGTCATCGAGCCAGCTCAGCTCTCTCTTTGTGAAGAAAAAGTCTAGAAGCTTTCGGATAAAGACCAGCGCCAGAACCTAAAGACACATGGAACAATGATTTAACATCAATAAATATATATAAAATGCAATAAAATGGAAGAAAAACACACACATTACACTAAGAAAATATTGAATATCTTAATTTCATCTGAAACCACAAAGAACATCAATGATGTATGGTGATATTAGAAATATCTCTTACAGCTGAACACACACTTTGTGTTGTGACATATATCTTGATATCTTAAATCTGTGTCTTCAACACGTCATGAAATCTGAAGTTGAGGTCATTACCATCATGGGAAATACGACAGCTGCTGAGGAGGCCTTGATGACCCAGAGCAGCACCAAACAGGTGAGCTGCACCAGAGTGAAGACGTGGACCTTCCACAGCGGCACGTAGCGCAGGTAGATCAGGTCGGGCTGGTGCTTGGCGGGCATGCCGAACAGCTTGATTCTGTCAAAGAACTGCGGAGGACACGAGAGGCTCAGTGAGAGAGATAAGAAATGCTAATGAGAGCGACGAGGAGTGGTGAGGAGAGAGGGGGGGATTCAATACCGTAGTCAGAAGACGGATTCTTCTGAATAACCATCAAAGGGTTGGAACTACAAGGGGAAAACTTATCTTTACTAACCGCTGATGACTGCTGTTCTGTTCGGAATAAAAGGGCGTATTATCTTCAAAGACCAGCAGAGTCGAGTCTTACTACATATTTATATCAATGTATTATTATATTGTGTATGGCTGTCTTAGTGGTCTAGCACTTGGGAGACAGGGGGCATTGGAAGGGATGGATAAGAACTTGACTTAAGTGTACTATGTTCAAGTTGTATTTGTCTTTTGTGATGTATTTAATAAAATAAAATAAAAACTTGATCTTAGAGTCTTACTTGAATGCCTTTGAGGGAAGAGACACCCATGTAGAGAAAGACTCCATACAGGACCGGCATAGGAATAAACTGTAAAGAGCAGAAGTATAACAACAGTATCAATTATTCAACTTGCAGTTCAGGAAAGGAACATGTATCATGCCATTTGTTGCACCAGGACAATTAGTGAAAACTTGAAAATAATGACCTGATATGTAGCTACTTAGATGAACTTCTCATTGTGAGGCCAGAATCATTACAGTGCCTCTCCCGTATCTCACCTTGAGCACCGATGTCATGAAAACAGAGCAGCCCATGAGGACAAAGATCATAAATCCAGTGACGCGCTGCTCCCGGATGCCCAGAAACTTGGGCTGCTCTCCCGGGGCGGAGCAGCCGGACTCCACCTTCAGGCTGTTCACGTGGGAGATGGAGAGGACGGTTGCAGCCACGAACCATGGCAGGCCCATGATGGAGCACACACCCAGCATTATCGCCACTATCAGCAAATCGAGGTGATAGCCACAGCCTTTCTGTGGGTGTCACAGGGAGACGAGACCGCAAATACGTTTGAGAGCCAGTGAAGCAGTAATGAGTGGTTGTAACTGGGGAGCAAATGTACTTCAAGTAAAAATAGAATTACAAGACTCAGGAGCACAATCTTTGCATAATTTGCTCATCCACTCTTGGAATACTTTCAAATCTTTGCTTTATGTATTTTCAAGGTGGATTAAAAATATATTTTTATAAATGGTAGCACTGCTAAATCCGGAGGCATACAAATACCTCAGCAAAAACAAACCTGAAAGAGATTATAGTTGAAGCATTTTTGTGAGATGAGCACATCAGAAGGACAGACAGAATTAAGATGACGAGAGAGGGGGGGGGGGGGGGGTTTAGAGAGAGCAAATTAGGAGAGTGGAAGAGCTGGAGGCGGCACCAATGAAGTTAAAAGAGAATTAAAAAGAATTACAAGGTACATTTTAATACATTTGCTTACACATACACATCAATTCAAAACATGAGTTCTGTCATAGATGCTGCACAGCTACCGTTTGCACTCCTGGATGTTAAGAGAAGGGATGAACGCCACCACAGAAACTCTGCTTGTAACTCTAAGATGTAACTCTGGCAAAAGTAAATTTCCAGCAGCCGGTCTGACCTTCAGCTTGTGCTCCTTGCGGTTGATGATGACTGCAGTGATCTGCTGGTCCATAAAGATGAGGATGGTGCAGAGCAAGGCAGGAAGCGCAGCCACCAGCAGCGTCCACCAGGGATTTTCTCCTAACGGGTCCATCAGCCAGCCTCGGTTCTTTGAAGTTGGCTGTGAGGGAAAAGCAGGAATGGTCTACATTTACTATATTACGCACAGCTTCATTATTTGAGAATATTTGATGTGAACAACATTTAAGGAATAGTATACCAAGCGTAAATGTATTTAAGTACAACATTTAGACCTTTGCTTACATAAGAATGACTTTACAGAAGTAATAATGTGTGACGTCCCCTTGAAGACATGAAGACAGACTGACGTGCTGGAATAGATGCCTACCTCAAAGCGGTCAGGGACATTCAGTTTAGGAGAAGGGATCCCCATTAGATAGTCCACCAACACCATGACCATGATGGTTATAAACACAGCGAAGTCGCTGATGGTGGATCGCACCTACAGAACACAACACACAAGCAACACAGTTATTATGTGTTCTCTATTGTCTCACACACACACACACACACACACACACACACACACACACACACACACTTTTACTTAAGGTCACTGTCGAGATCCAACAAAGTAATAATTACATTGATGTCAACAGTGAGAAGTGTAACAATACCAGCACCTGCCTACACAGAAGACCAAGTGATAACAGACTAGCTGGTGCTGTGTGGGCGGATGCAAGGAAGTCTTTTCTTTCTGTTGTACATGGGACTGCTCCAGCATGCTAATGACTGATACAATGTAAACATGTACATAGCGCGAGAAGCTTTAAGCTAGATCTGCACAGAGGAGTAGAAAGAACACCCTGCTCTCTCATGGGAATTTAGTTGTTTTATTAACCAGTCATATAAAAATGTATTTTACTTTGTCACGTATGTAATTCATTTCTGGACTTTGAGGACTTAGTGTGGGATTAGTGGTAAACAATTATGATAATTATCTAATTGCAATTATTTTGACTGATATTGCAATTTAGATATGGAATGCGATAACAGAGGGAATGCTAATTTTTACATAATTACTCTAATTGTTATTGAAAAACTTGATTACGGTGTTATTTGTGATGGGATCTGTACCAAACAAAGATGTTTTGTCTGAAGTCTGAGGAAAATGATGTGCAGACTCGGACATCTCTGCAGCTCGACAATATTTTATGAAAAAATTGTATTTTGGCACACCATATTGCGATTTTGATTTGTGCAGCCCTACAAGGGATCATTGGAGTTGTTGTCTTCATTATTGAAACAACCACCGTTATCGATAATTATCTATCTGACATGACTCCAATGAAACCATGTTCAGACTGTCAGACACTGCTGCAGTAAAATGAGAGGTTTTCTGGAGGGATTCTGGTGCTCGGAGGCACTACTTCTTTTGTCCACAGGGACCGACAAAATCAGGACAAAAGGAAAGTTTCTTGTAAATTTAGGATAATAAAAAACAACCTTGAACTTGATTCATGACTTCATAACTAGCACGAATCTACGGCAAATTCCACACTGCATTCAAATTAGCATGTAAACATGTCCCACAGAGCTGCCAATGCAACAAACAAGGATTACTTCTCATTACACGTATGAACTTAGTTTGACACATGACGGATCCTTTCCACACATATTTGGGGTAAAGGGAGCATGACACCATTGACAGGCAACCAAATAAAAACACACCGTTACCTTGAACATTGTTGGAAACATTTAGGCTAACGTAAGAAAATATATAACATATACGTTTAGGCATTTCATTTTGGAAATGTTACGTATTATACCTTTAAGAGCAGTACTAGTAGTACCGAGAAGAGAATGCAGATAACAAATGAAGCAAACACCTCACCATGGTGGGGAAATATCTCTCCGTCTTGAACTGCTTAAGTAAGGAGCACAGACAGAAGGTGGTGAAGAAGAGGATGACGGACCAGAAGAGAACATCTGGGATGTAGGGCCCACGATCACCGCAGGCAGGACCCACAAACTCCCCATGGAGGGTATTACACATCTAGAGAAAAAAGGAGTATTAGATTAGTACTGTAAAACAATTTGAGCGGTTCCAGTACTGACAGTACTATTGGTTGCAGGTGATTTTGTCAGGCCAGTCACAGTTCTTGTGGTGGTTGCAGTTGTTGCAATAATGTTAAAGTGTCTGACTTAATCAGCGTGAATTAGGGAGTTGGTGCGAGTGTGAGAATGTATGTACATAACAGGATGTAGGCCGATGATCCTATACATGAGTGTGATTCCTGCACATGACAGCGGAGATCATTGTGTGCTGGTCTCACCGAAACATTGAGGCTGCTCCATGGGATAGAGTCCGAGCCGTTTCCTGTGCTGTTCCACTTCTGCACGAGCTCCTCCGAGGCATTGACCGGTGGAGAGCACTGACACCTAAGGACAAGAGAACAAATGCTGAGCAAAGTACGGACGCTTAGCTTAAGTTTGGCTCATTTTAAAGTCAATTAAAAAGGATGCAGCAAATCTGCTGGCATCGGTTGTTTTTAAATGTGTTATTTTGCACGGGGGTAATTTCCTCTCTGGGGAAGACATGATCTGGGAACAGCTTGAGCCACTGCTATCACAGTTTTCAGCAGTTTGTTCCTAATGGGATATTTTCATGTGCATAATATACTGCTTTATGCAACTCTTTAGCATTTAAAATGACATCCTGATCTAAAGAGTGCATAAAAAAAAGGGACTTTTTAGCTCTGACTTAAACAGTAAATACATACGCAGTTAATACATATTAGTTATCAGAGAATTTCATAGTTTATTCAACTCAGTCTTTGAACAAGATACATAAAACCTAAATATTAAAGGAACTGTAATTGTAGTACTCACGAATACAGGGTAAGGTCGTCCAAGTTGCTGTGCATGTTGACAGGGTAGTGTTCTCCCAGGTGAAAGAGCTTCTCGAGAGCCTCGTAGATGAAGATGATGCAGATGAGTGCAGCGAAGGCCTCCTCTGTGAAGCGGGTGATGTAGCAGACCAGGGAGCTGGCATCTGTGGCCACCAGGACCAGACACATGAAGGCTGTCCACAGACCAATGCTGGTCCGCAGCGACAGGTAGGACAGTCCGTAGTCACTGGGAAAGAGACAGACAAAAGGTGACACGGAGGAGAATGGACGCAGGTACACACACGCACATTAGGGCCAATTAGACGATTGGAATCCATAGGAAAATGTATTCACTTAGAAACAAAATGCTGCATACTATGTAGACTATTTCATCTGATCAGTATTTTGACTCCGTATCATGAAGCAGACTTGCTTGAACGTACGCGCAGAACTTGAAGAGGATCTTCTCAAACACTAAAACCGGGCCCGTGCTGCCAAGAATAGTGAGGGGCTGGCCTGCGAAGAGGGAGTACGCCACTCCCGTCAGTGAGGCCCCAAACAGAGACTCTATGGCACTCTGTAGAAACACAGGAGAGGGAGGGAGTGAGGGACGATGTGGGAGGTGAAACCAGCCAAAGGAGGATAGAGAGGGAGAGACTGAAGGAGGAGAGAGAGAAAGAGGTGAAGAAGAGACCCCCCAACAAGAACACAGACACTTTTGATTAAACAGACACTCGGGGCTGCGTCTGAGAGGCTAGACAAAAACAGTTTGAATGCTTCCGCCCCGCTGACTTGTCGGAAGACATATCTGTGTATAGACCTCGCTTGCTGAGTTTACTCAGATGCATCACACACACAGACTGTGCCTATGCCAACAGTCCATGTCCTAGTAAGGACATCTGGTTAAACAGGAGAGAGAGAGAGAGGCAGACAGAGGGAGCGATAGAAAGAGAGACACTATAAAGCTTGCATTATGATAACAGATGCATGGTCCATGGGAGGCGGATTATTCATCATATCCTATTTTGGACAGTGAATTAAGACCTCACAGTGAAAGACACCCACCTAGATGAGAAAGCGATAGCACGGTGAAGGGGGTGACAGATTATGGTGAATGTCCTTGACACAGTGCCAGCACAATACTAAGAAAATGAAATTATATACTCGCATATGATAGCAAAATTGTACTATGTCCTGGTTGTTTAAGTATATAGGCATCTAGACAACCAGGGGTTAGGGGTTTGAGTCCCACTGGGCTCATGAAAAGCACAAAGTATTGACTTTTGAGCGTCAAGCTTTCAGACTCACTATGTTGCCTTTTGTTGCCTCCCCGAGCAGACCCCCAAATGTGATGACGGGGGACATGCAGGCGCAGTAGAGGAACAGGACGGAGGCCAGACACTGCAGACTGAAGGAGTCTCTGATGTCGCTCCAGTAGAACGGCAACTTCCGCTTGACGTCCAGGACCAAACCTCCAAATATCCTGGAAGAGGTAAGTTATGTTTGAATTTTCAAGTAGGAGTGCACAATGCTATTATATAATAACGTACATTAATCAATAGTACATCAGTGCGTTAGCTTAATTTAGTGTCACATAAAACCCTTGAATGTGAAGCAGTGGTCCATCTATTAATTCCATAGAGATTGTTTCAGATATAAAAAGGTAACTGTAATGGTTCTAAAGTGAATAATAAAAATTATAAATATTTGCAGTCTTTTCTCACCGTGTACATCTTCCTCTCTTTCCTCTGATACCTGTCCAATTGCTCTGCTGAGAAGTCTTCTTACATTTTCTTCCTCCCCCCCCACCTCTGGAATAACCCTATTGCCTGCCTCCACAACCCCTGCTGTCTCTTCTATACAGCTTCTGATAGCTTTTCCTTATATTAGCCTCTTACACTTCCTTGCACTCTATTGTCCTCCAGTAGCTCCCTCATAGCATGAGCCTTTTATAGTAGCAGCAGAGTGGAACTGTAAATAATACAGTGCCTCGCAACTGACGTGTGTGCGCGTTTCTGTCTGAGGTTTCAAATTCTCTTCCCCCCCCCCCCCCGTTTGTTCCGTCTCCAGAGACCCAGCATGAGTTACCCATAAATGTCAGCAACTGACTTCACAGAGTACAGTAGACATGTACCTGCTTAAAACACAGTGATGTTGAGCTTATCAAATTGGACATTTCATACACATTCAAATTCTACTTTAACGATATGTGAGGAATCTCAGAAATAATTCTAAAAGCTTTTACTGAACGCTTATAGATGAAGTGCTATTACGCTCTGGGTAAGGAAGAAACACGTTCTGTGAAAATATCTCATGGTCATTTAAGAGTGTTTGCAGCGAGGAAATTCAAACTATTGCAGCCACAAATGAGTCGCTGTAACTTAAGAAGATACAATGAGGTCATTAGTCTCTCAAGTCCCTTTCCCACCGGACAAAGTAGAAGATCAAGCCTCTCAGTACACGTCAAGTTCGACTCCAGGAACCTGATTAGTAACCAATAGAAAGCAGCATGGAGGCCAGTGAATTGTTACGCTGGTTACTTTTTTTTTTGTAATATATATACTGTATGTACATATATACATACACATATATATACACACATACATATATACACACACATATATACATACATATACACATACATATATACACACATATACACATATATACACGTATACATATATACATACACATACATGTATACATACACGTATACATACATGTATACATACACGTATACATACATGTATACATACATACATGTATACATACACATATATATATATATGTATACATACATACATGTATACATACATACATACATACATGTATACATACATACATGTATACATACATACATACATACATGTATACATACATACATGTATACATACACATACATACACGTATATATATATGTATACATACACATATATATACATACACGTATATATATATATACATACACGTATATATA